GTATGCTGTGCTGGTCAGTGCCCTGGTGCTGATGGCCAAGGTAAGGATGGGACTCTGGAGGTGACACTTGAAACACAGCAACTCAGAACTGTGAGTAGTCAGAGACCCCGCTGGCAGTCAGTGGTGTCAGGAGAAGAAGACAGAGGTCCACCCACATGCCTCAGCAGATGTATTGTATCTCCGGGATCACAGTGGGAGAACCAGGCAGAGAAGGAGAAGCTGAGGACACCTGAGAACCCAATGGACATTGTAAAGAGCTCTACCATTCACCCTGTCAGCAGACCATCCTACTTCCTCTCAGTTCCCATCACTCCTGGTAACCCCTGAAACCTTCTCTTCTTCAGGTCAAGAGAAAGGGTTCCTGAAACCACCTCAGAGGCAGAGGCGGGAGCTTCCTGCTTGCTATTCCCCAATACGGATTCTCCTTTTTCTACTTCTAGCCAGTGCTTCTCAAGAGCTGTTTTCATCTCTCCACTCACCCCAATAGTTACCCACTATGTTCCTGAACACCTGGACGCTGATGACCCAAACCTCCCTAACCCAGGGGGACCCCTAGTGTGACTAAATTGACTATTGACTGAATCAATAAAAATGATGTGTTCTGGCTTGACTCCGCCTTATGAGTGTCTGGATATATCTTCTGCCCATCTCGGACCTCCTATGTGCCTCCCGCCAGGATAGAAATAAGAGGTATTGGGCACCTGGGTGGCTCAGTTGTTAAGCATCTGCCTTCAGCTCAATCATGATCCTGGGGTCCTGGGATTGAGTTCTGCATTGGGCTCCCTGCTCAGCAGGAGCCTACGTCTCCCTCTCCCACTGCCCCTGTGTTCCCTCTCTCACTGTGTCTTTCTGTCAAATAAATAAATAAAAATCTTAGAAAAAAAAAAAAAAGGAAAGAAACAAGAGGTATTCAAGGAAAGAACAGGTCCCTCCAGTACCGGGGCTGAGGGACTGAGTCTGGGGCTGCCCTGCTCCTCCCTGTCAGGAGAACTTGAGTAAGTGTAAATGGGGGTGATGGGATTGAGGAGGCTTACTCAAAAACAGCTCAGAAAAATGGTGACATTTTCTATCAGAATTTCCTGTCCTGGGGCACCTGGTTGGCTCAGTGGGTTAAGCCTCTGCCTTAGGCTCAGGTCATGATCTCAGGGTCCTGGGATGGAGCCCCACATCGGGCTCTCTGCTCAGCAGGGAGCCTGCTTCCCCAACTCTCTCTCTGCCTGCCTCTCTGTCTACTTGTAATCTCTCTCTCTGTTTCAAATAAAGTCTTAAAAAAAAAAAAAAAGAATTTCCTGTCCTACCTGGACCAAGCTGCTCTAAGGAAGAGTTTACTTCCACAGGTGTATCTCCCAACAACTGGTCACTTATTTGTGGCTAAGAAGCTTGCCTTCATAGCTATCACCCATGTTCCCTTCAACTGTCTCCCTGAGTACACTACCGTCTTCTCTTATCACCAAGCAGGCTTCCCGGCCAAGAAGAGAAGGCACTGACTTGGAGTTGGAATCTCAAGTAGCACATGTGTCTTCCAGTTTATGTCACAAATCTGTTGATGAGTTTCTCTCTAGTGAATTACATGGGTGTAAAAACGTGCCCTGATCACTCCTGGAAGGATAGAAAATAAAGGTCCTCAAAACCAAGAGTCAGCCCTATTGCTATTTCGAGGAATCCTCTAAGAGCTCTTTGTTGTCTCATGGTCACTGTGGTGATGCACGGTCCTGGGGATGGCATCTAGGCAGTGGTCCTCTGCTACCTCGCTCCGTGCATACCCCACTCCTCTCACCCTGCATCCTGGAGCCACCTGCTTCCAGGCTATTTTGCATTCCATCACCTGGAGGCACATAGTAGTACTCTAACTCCTACTTACTCTTGAAGATTTAGCCCCAACATCATCCCCTGTAAGAAGCCTTCTCAGGTGCTTCTTTGCCTGAATTAGCCATCTACTCTCTCGCTCACGGGACTGGAGCGCATGACTTTCTCTCTCCATTGCAATGCATGAGGCATTCACATGTGTGTGCACACTTCTATAACACATATGTATGTGTACATGTATTTACATACATGTGCCTGTGCACTAACCCACTCAAGCACACGTCATTGCAATGTCCTGCTATTCACCTTCAAGAAAATAAGGAGATCCAAGTCACAGTCCCTAGGGAACCTACCTGTTCTGGAGGGGATCATTCATGAATAGAAACAGTTGAAATACAAAGTGGCGCTTTCCGATAGAAATGCCAGCTGTCTGAAATGCGGTCAGAGGCTAGTACTCAATTTCCTACTGGGATCATCAGGGAAGCGTCTGAGAATGTGGCAAACTCTTCACAGAAAGAATTGGTCTAATCAACCCTGTGGGAGGGTGGTCGTGACAGTCAGAGACATGAACCAGAGCCGAAACCACAGGGTCAGGTACTTGAGGGTGCTTAGCCGGGGACGGGGACGAGCTTCAGAAATAGGAGGGAGGAGATGTTAGGCAGGCTGTTGCGTGCGCCTTGGAGGTGAACTCAGGTCCTTGCCACCAGCATGGGGCCTGGCACATAGGAGGTGTTCATGCAGTGTGTGGGATACATGAAGCATAAGGAGCTTGGACTCTGTTCCGGGAGCAGTGGGGAATTACAGAGTCTGCTTGTCCCCATGCCACAAGCTGCCGTCACCTGCTTTTTGGAGTCCACCCCTCACTCCTCCCACCCCACGTCACTATAAATGCCATTCTGTGCAGGTGGGCACCGTGAGTCCCAGAGGGGAGACCTGGTGACACAGAGGGTCTCCTCACAGTGGTGTATGTTCTGCCATAGGGCCTCTCTGCCCCTCCCCTCCCTCCACCAGCACCATGACCTTCCCCAGCCCCTCCCCACTTTAAATGTACTCGGAGTTGGCTCCCAGCCCCACTCAGTCAAACCTCTGTCACCTGCAGTTCCTGTCTCTGCCCAGTGGCTGGGGGGAGGGGACCAGAAAGAAAGAAACATTTTTGTATCCTGTTGTAACATTGTGGGAGCTGGGGGGTGGGCACAATGACTCAGGTAGAGGGGGTGCTTTTACAAAAAGCTCTGCCTCAGAAAATACCTCCACCTTGCCCTGGGAACACAGCTCCTGGATGGGGAGTGGCTAGGAGGTGTCTCTAGAGCTGGTCCCTGATGTGCTCTTGCAGGGACCTGAACTGGGTAAACACCTCTACATCTCCCAGCTCCAGACAGCTTCCCAGGAACGTGAAGGGCCCACACATCGAATCAGGGTCATCATCCAGCACTTTTCATAAAAACCTGCCCTTGACAAAAGTACTTACACATGCGTTATTTATTAAGAACTCACAACAACATTGCACAAAACGTAGCACCCCCTTTTTCAGATGAAGGAAAGAAGGCCAGAAAAGTTGCAGGTCCTATAAGTACTAAGAGACAGGGTCCTTCCTGGAACATGTCCCAGCTCCAGCCCCAACCCCTAGCACCAAGCTCAGTTCATTTTACACCTCCACTGTACTGTCCCCAAGCCAAGTTGATTCTCCTCTGAAACTGGAGATGACCTCCTGTAGCATCTAGATGACTATGTCCAGCTATTTCTGGAGGTGGCAGGAGAGAAGCCCAGGAAGGAGAAGGACAGTGCATCCCCTGCTTGTGCCAAGGGAAGCAGGAGGAGCAGAAATTCTTGGCAGCCCCTGACCACTGTGCTTATACAGCGAGCAGCACTTTGGGCCAGGGACCCGGCTCACGGTACTAGGTAAGAAAGCCTCTCCCGGTGGGAAGGCGGGTGGGGTGCCCAGCCTGGACCACCCTCAGGACCCTGGCCCTAGAGGAGTGGGTGCTGGCCCCTTCCAGGTCCCTAGTCTGGGAAGGCGGGTTTGTGCCTGGGTCCCCAGAGCTGTGCAAACACAGGACAGCTGTACTTTGGGGCCGGTTCCAAGCTGACGGTTCTGGGTAAGGAGGTTAGCTGGGGGGCCAGCGCTCCGCGGGGTGGGACGGACACAGGTGGGCAGCTGCCCGGCTCCGTCAGGGGCTGTGCTCAGAGGCGGGGCTCAGCGCCTGGGCCGGGACTCCCGGTTCTTCGAGGGAGCAGGGCCGGCGGGAGAGGGCAGCGCCAGATTTTTGTGCTGGGGCTCCGGGCCGTGAGTGGAGAAACTCAGTATTTCGGCAGGGGCACCCGGCTGACGGTGCTAGGTAAGCGAGGGGGCCCGGGGGCGCCGGGGCGGGCGGTGGGGCAGCGGATGGCGGGCCTGTTTTTGTGCTGAGCCAGGGGGCTGTGAGCCAAAATACCCAGTACTTCGGCGCGGGGACCCGGCTGACGGTTCTAGGTGAGCGCGGCGCGCGGCGCGGCCAGGGTCTTGGGAAGGGGGCCCGGGGCCCTGCTTTGCAGCCTCCGCCCTGTCCTTCGGGGCCGGCAGCCGGCTGACCGTCCTGGGTGAGTGGCCGCGGGACCCGACACGAGGGTTGCGGGGTCGGAAGGGAAGGCGGCGACCCCAGGGCCCTTCCTGGCCCGGCCCGGGGTGGGCTCCCGCAGGGAGCGGGAGCGGGAAGCAGCTGGGGCGCTGCGGGGGTTTGCGTGCGGGTCTGGGCCTCTGTGTTCCTATGAGCAGTATTTCGGCTCCGGCACCAGGCTCACGGTCATAGGTGAGATTTGGGCGTCTCCCCCCGTGCGCGCCGCAGCTCCTCGGACCCGGGAGATAGTGGGGGTGGGCCAGGCAGGGACGCGCAGTCCGCTGTCCGCGGGGTCAGCCCTGCGGGGGGCGGGGACCGGGTCCTCCGAGGCCCGGCACAAGGGTGGAGGGTCAGGGGGCTGTGGGGCTCTTTTTCTGCTTTTGAGGTACTTAGGGGCCGAGTGCGTGGGGGACTAGAGCATTGATGGGGACTCAGAGCCGCTGGACTGGGGGACGCGACTGAGAAGGGAAAACTGGGGCTGGGGGAGGGGGCATAGAAGGGGTGTAGCTGCTACGGAGAAGGGGGACCGACCGAGCGGGAGAGCCAGGAGGAAAGCAGGGATAAGCATGGAACTGGCGGGCACCCAGCCCAGCCGGCTCCTGGGAGAGGTAGATGGAAGGGAGGCCGTTGAACAGAGGAGAAAAGGGACGAGAAACAAGAGAGGACTCGAGAGGCCATAGAAAACAGATCAATGTGCGTCAGTGGAGAGAAGAGTCAAAACAAGAAGGGTTAGTTGATTTACTGCTTAGCATTTAAAATCATATTGAAAACCCCTGCCTTTCTCTCCTAAGCCAGAGAGCCCCCTAAGGGGTGTCTACAGCACCCATTCCTGCCCGGACTGGACTGGACCCTCAGCCCCTGGGATGCATCCCCACCCCCATATCTCCCTCTGCCCCCCAGCCTGAAATCTGGGACCTCACACTAAGTATTTCAGCCTCAACAGCTCAGTGGTGGAGGAGGTTCAGTTGTTGCAAACATATATTAAAATGCAGATATTTTGTTTGTGAGGTGAGGAAAATTCCCAGGACGATCCTAAGCTCCTAGATTTGGAAATGAGCCTCAAACATCACCTGGTGACAAGAATGTTGAGGCCAGAGAGGGGAAGAAACTCATGATACTGGTACATTAACCTGGATTCTTGGACAACAACAAGCCCCATTTGTCGTTAAGAGTGTCATTATGCTGGATCCGATGGGGCTCAGCTAGACTTT